TTTGGTGTTTCTATACCGATTTCTATGATTCTTTTTTTATTGAATAGGTAATAATGTTAACTTTTTTAAATTAGGGATGAGTGAGAGTATTATAAACGTAAGAGTAAACAAATATAATCAGTATGCTCCGAACTGCTAAGCTATCAGGAGTTACACGTGTTATTGTGAGTCAACCATAAAAGATAGACATATGCTGTTGCGGGATATTTTTTAGAAAATTTTATGTAAAATATTTCCGCCATACATGATTTCTATGTAACTTTAACCATTAAGGCTGGACACGCGACGGAAGCTTAAAAAATGGAGTAACTTCTCCCGTTTTCCCAACATTTCCCTTCACTACTCTGCTCCTATTGATTGTAGCGTGATGAAAAGTATACTATAACCTGCGCCAGGGTATGAAGAATAATTGTACCAAGTTTCGTTAAAATCCGTTGAGTAGTTTTTGTTTCTATAAGGAACATACATACAGACAGTCAGACAGACAGACAAAAATTTTACTGATTGCATTTTTGGCATCAGTATCGATCCCTAATCACCCCTGATAGTTATTTTGGAAATATATTTCATGTACAGAATTGACCTCTCTACAGATTTATTATAAAAATATAGATAAATTATCCTTGTGATTAACCCTTTCGACGGTTATCATAAAATACATCATATGTATTTTTTTCAAATTTCACGAGTTTGATTCTAAGTTGCAGCAGGCGATTTAAAAAAAACTCTGCGAATGCAGTTCTACTCATTATTAAAAAAAAATGGTTGCCTGTAAAGTCGGTTTTACGGGCGAAGATTTTACGTGACAACGTCTTTTTCTCGGTAGAATATTTATTGATATGAATATAATTAAATTGCACAATAGGAACAAGGAATTGAATGAAAATAAGAATTGCACAAATTTTAACTATAGAAATATATTTTGTTTACTAAAACATTGTACATGTAAACTTAAACTCATCGTAACGTTACCGAGCGTTACACTTTTTCATAAGTGACTCCCAGCCGCAACCTAATTTAAGACGTTGTCACGTCCAAAAACCTTTGTCGTCTTTCAGAAAAATATCCTATCTTCAATATTTAATATAGGCACTTTCCCTCCGTGTGACAAACCCGCGGAACGTGCTGTATATAGTCCATCTATATACTAATATATAAAACTCAAAGGTGACTGACTGACATAGTGATCTATCAACTCACAGCCCAAACCACTGAACGGATCAGGCTGAAATTTGGCATGTAGCTAGATGTTATGACGTAGGCATCCGCTAAGAAAGGATTTTGATCAATTCTACCCCCAAGTTGATAAAATAGGGAATGAAAGTGTGTATGAAACTTTGTCAATTTTAAACCGATCGGGCTGAGACTTTGCATGCAGGTATAAGAAGAATCATAGATGAATGTCATTGTGTATAATGCAAGCCTGAAAACAAAAACAGTAGTCTACACTTCAGCTCTACGCCGAAGCGAAGCGTGGGCGGGCCGCTAGTATTTTCATAATCTGTTTATCAAGAAATGACTGAAATATTTCCATCGAGAGGTACTCTCCTTCTCTCGTTTAACACTGTTGCAAACGTTCTACGGGGGCTCGTTCATTAAAACATTGTTCGAGCAAAGGAAAAACAAAATAAGATTGTAGCTCTAACATCACAAGATTCAAACTCGAACAAACATTTGCAACGTCTTTGTTTTAAAATCAGATCTAGCTTTATGCGCCTGTAATATGATAGTTTTATTGGATTCCAGAGGGTACTAAAGTAACTAGTAAATGTAGTGCCTTATTTCTCAAAGTATCAGAGATATCCTGCTTAAATTCGAATGCAACACCCGATGGAAAAAAACTGCATTACTGCTAAATGAAAACAATTTTTATGACCTAAAAAGTTTTTTCAATTATAAAAATTAATGACATGTTTTAACTTATCCTATAATAATTATGATAAATGTATCTTTTTTTTTTTTTTTTTTATATCTGACATTTAGAAATCTTGTAATATTAATATGTTGACATTGTATATTTTATTGACATAATATTAGGTAACTCTGACATTCATAATTCTACAGAACAATGTTATAATTAATTAATCTCTTTTTTTTATTGGTTCCATATTATGTATTTGCATGCTATTTTTAAAATGGCAAAACACGTGCTCAAACCGTTGTGTAATACCTATATACCGTGTTTTTAGCAAATAAAGATTATGATTATGATTATCTTTGGATGGTCCTTGTAGCTCTGGTGGCCAACTTTTTGTACGACCATTAATAATATCGACAATATCTACCTCCGTGGCCCAGTGGTTTGTACGCCGTGTTCACCCTGAGTGTCGCCGACTCGAGAGGTCCCGGGTTCGAATCCCTAGGGGCAGATTTTTGTGTGATGAATACGAGGATTTGTACTCCAGTCATGGATGTTTAATATATCTAATATATAAAATTCTCGTGTCGTTTTGTTCTGTCGTTTTTTCTCGTGTGTTTGTGGTTAAACTCCTCCGAAACGGCTCGACCGATTTTCGTGAAATTTTATATGCATATTCAGTAGGTCTGAGAATCGGACAACATCTATTTTTATCCCCTTAAATGTTAAGGGTTAACCAACCCTTTTTTTTTTGTAGAATATTTTTTGTTTTTTTTTTGATACATCATACAAAAATAGATACAACCCTAAATTTTCTCCGTTCTACCACCAACCCCTATTTTTTTATGGCAGTACGAAGTTCGCTGGGAGAGCTAGTATTTCTATATAAATATACCTACTTATATATGTACAGTATATATATTCTATCCGTTACCCTCGTATCCCATAACACAAGCCTTACAGTGCTTACTTTGGGGCTAGGCTAATTGGTGTGAGTGTTGGAAATATTTATTTAATAGCTAACAATAAACAGAGTTATTTTTTTTAGATTAAATCCATAATATTACACGAGATAAGCTTTATTGCCTCACAACTCAAAAATACTCACTGCAGCACAACAACATTACGAAATAGTGATACTTCGGTACTCTCAGATTTTCTTTATATCTTTTTATCTTAGCCGGACGGAGAAAGAGTACAATTCACCGCCCCTTTTTCCCCCGTGGGTGCCGTAAGAGGTGACTCCTTAGTCACTCCTTAGAACTCTCGGAGCTTCCATCCGCGCTACCGGTCGTATGGTGAAAAACCTGTGAAGTGCTCCTTGAACTCGTTTCGGGGTCAGCCAGTGCACAACCAGAGCTCGAGTTGGCAATGCCTCAACAGATTCAGTCCAGGGGAGGCATCCGTCGAACCGATGCCGGGGGGACTGCATCAACGGCTTTTGTTTACCAAGATGTTCCAATTTCAAATAGTTACTGACTGGCCAAACACTATCATCCCAGAGCCAACAAGAAAATCGAAGGTGACACAAACAAACAGCCTATATGTAAAATATGACCAGTGGGTAGAATAGCTCAAAACAAATAAAAGCGTTTCATCAGTCATCCGCGCAATAAAACCGGACACTACACCTAGTCTGGCGGGCTATTTATCAGGCCCATCATAATAACACAAGACAGACCGTTAATAACAGAACATCCAATTCTCCTGAACATCAAAATCGTAACGTCTCGAGCTCGGCCGATGCGATTCTGGACTTTATCGCTTTGCAATAAGATGTTGCAGATATCCTTGTCTGTTAGCAAGCACGTAATGTGAAATGTCAAGGGCAAGACCCTTGTCCAATGGAAGGCCCGTGGAGAATTCCTAACTCGTTAACTAATATCGCTTTTACCACTCAATATCTAAGTTCATGTTCTTTAAAATATTGTTCAACCGTTACACAACAATTCGGGCTTTGCGCTATCCTTGTGTCAGACTAATATTACAGGTAACGTAAAAGTCATGATTGAGGAGGAGCTCGATGGCGTAAGTGGTTAGCGCGTTCGGCTGCGATCGTTGAAGTTAAACAACTATCGCAGTGGTCAGTCATTGGATGGGTGACCAAAAATTTACTATCTCTCACTCCTCCGTGCTTCGGAAGGCACATTAGTCTTTCGTTAGTGTGAGTGTTAGTTAGGCTTCATCTGCAGTCGTTAGCACCCGCTAATCCGCACCGGGCCCGCGTTTAGGGTCATGGCCCAATCTCCCTATTCCATCCATAGGCCTGTGCCCAAGCAGTGGGGACATTAATAGGCTAATCATCAGCCTGAATGAAGTCATGATTTGGGGAACTAAAAGGAGTCATTGTAAATATAAGCTGGAAATAATATGATAAGGTACGTTTGTAGAAGTTATACAATAGGATGGGTGACGTAAGTCATCTCGAGAGGCTGACATGACATCAATAGGCTGACAGAGACGACTTAATAAAGTAGTTATGTAGTAACGGATTACGTAATAAGGAAGGGTGAGGATAGCTGGTGTGGTAGGTAAAACTGTCTGGTCTGGACTCTACTCGTAGCGTCACTTAACATCAGGTAGGGTGGAGTTCTTTGCCACGCCTATCAATAAAAAAAATAGTGTGCACAGACCACACATCTGAAGTGAAAGTGAGGCATAGGGGAATGGTGCAGCGCACGCATTGCTCATAAATATGTATATACATATACACAGTCAGGTCATAAGTATTGTCACACAGCAAAAACTTTGCTTTTAGAATGCTGGCCACAAAAAAGTTTATTGAATTCGAATTTGGAATTGTTCATGAAAATAAAAATGTATACTTTTTAGAATTTTACTCATTTTTAAATATGGAGTGGACGCTTAAAGACCGTGTTGCAGTTATTGCGTTGCATCGTTGCGGTTACGCGCTAATTCAAATTTTTGACATACTGAAAAATTTGAATAAAACCAAAAGATTAGTTTATCGTACCATCAAACGATACAATGAACACTCTACTGTAGATGACAGGTCAAGAAGTGGTCGCCCTCGGTCTGTTAGGACTCCAGCCCCCCTAGCATGACTAACAAAACGCGATATGATAAAGCGATTTATCGACACTCAACTGTCAAACTCCATTGTAGTTTGACAGTTAATGTCGATAAATCGCTATATCTTATCGCGTTTTGTTACTCATGCTAGGGGGGCTGCAGTGATAAAAGCTGTGAAGGCGCGAATTCAAAGAAATCCTAAACGCAAGCAGAAACTGTTGGCCCCTCAGATTGGGTTAAGCAGAACCACGGTGAAAATGGTGTTAAATGAAGACTTGGGCTTCGGGCATATTGAAGAAAAACAGGACATTGTTTAATTGCTCGTCTAATGGACCTGAGACTGAAGAGATGCCGCGCTTTGTTGAAGCGGTACGCGGGAAAAAAATATCGGGAAATTCTTTTTTCGGATGAAAAAAATTTTACCGTAGAAGAAAGCTAAACAAACAAAATGATAAGGTGTACGCACACAGTAGTGAAGAAGCGAGCAACCGTATTTCGCGTGTCCAACGAGGTCATTTTCCATCCTCGCTCATGGTATGGTTGAGAGTTTCTTATTGGGGCAAGGGTCGGCAACTGCTCACCGGTACGTCACAGAGATCCTGGAAGAGCATGTGGTTTCCTATGCCAGTTTTGTTGGCGAGTGGTTCACATGAATGCAGGATAACGCTCGCGCTCACACTGCATTAATTGTGCGCGAATACCTTCAAGAGGTTGGGATCTCTGTCATGCAGTGGCTAGCGAGAAGTCCAGACCTGAACCCGATAGAGCACCGACTATTTGAAACGCAAGGTTCGGTTTCGTGATCCCGCCCCACGATTCTCCAGGAGCTCGAAGAGGCTGTTATTGAGGAATGGGCGAGTATCCTTCAAGAAGAGCTCCTAGAATTGGTAAGATCTATGAGGTTAGCGTACGGCGTCATCCGAGCTAGGGAGGTAACACTAGGTTTTAGGTAAGTTTTAAGAACCTTATGTATTTTTTTTTTTTTGAGTAAATTAATCTGTTTTTAATGAGGGCTTTAAGGCTTTTATTTATTTTGTAAATATATTTTTGCACTGTTCAATGAAAAATGAAAATTAATAATAATCATTTATTTCCAATTTACGAAGGCTAAAATAATACTCATATCTTTAACATAACTATATATTTATCTGTTGCCGAGCTAGGCAAAATACCTGCATTACGGCATACAGCGCCAATCCCCTTAGCACATAGTCCATTACATTCAAAATTAAATGGAAAAGACATTTAATTGAATTGTTTTTTAAGTTTATTTAATGGGTTTTCAAATGACACTAATATTGGTGGAAGTAAATGCGTCTGTTAAGGGTTATATTACCGCATACCGCTTGAAATTAATTTTAGCGGAGGTGCGATTTTTTGACGCTACACTGCGTATAAACATAAAGACAGTGAAAAAGCAAAATCGTTTAAATGCCACTTTAGTAACTGTACAAAAAAGAGGATCAAAGTTTCATTTTCACAAAAAAAAAACGATGACTCATTGTGAATGAGAAATAGCGCCATAAAAATAAAAACATATTCATAAAATAATATTTTCTAAATGTTAAGGATTCTTAAGGAACTTCATAGCAATCTCACGGGACATATGTATTGCGACAATGTATTCAAGCGGCGTCTAATCTTGACGTATTAAATTCATTGTGGAGTTACCTACTTTATTTTTTACCATTTTCATTGTTTAACCGTTTCTTTTCTATCACAAGATTATAATTGTCACCACTGTTAATTAATAATACAATTTTACTACTTTTAAGTACTACTTGCTAATTATACTTACATTCAAGACTATAAGTTGCTACAATACATACAGGAAGAGTAAACATTTGGATTATCTATAATTTTGGAGTTACATTTCATGTTCTAATTAACACTAAATATTCTCCTATTAAAAAGTTAGATAGTGCCTTTACTTTACGAATTAGATGTCGCTTCAGCGAAAATCACTCGGCCCCCTATACATTTTCTGTCAAGCAAACATCAAATCATACGCCAAATAGTAGGGCGTAAGCGCCATTGGTTCTAAAAAAAATGGTTGCCTGTAAAGTCGGTTTTACGGGCGAAGATTTTACGTGACAACGTCTTTTTCTCGGTAGAATATTTATTGATATGAATATAATTAAATTGCACAATAGGAACAAGGAATTGAATGAAAATAAGAATTGCACAAATTTTAACTATAGAAATATATTTTGTTTACTAAAACATTGTACATGTAAACTTAAACTTAACACGAGAGACTCATCGTAACGTTACCGAGCGTTACACTTTTTCATAAGTGACTCCCAGCCGCAACCTAATTTAAGACGTTGTCACGTCAAAACGCCAAAACATGGCGCTTCAGCGTTGTGAACAATAAAAATCTTCAAAAATTTGAGTTGCTTAAGCGCCAACTTTTATTATTGTATTGCTCCATCTTATATACTCTTTATAAATAAATCTATACGAATCATACACAGATCGACGCAGAAAAAAAATCTGATTAAAATGATATATATATATTCCTATCACAAATAAAACCAGCAATTTTTCACTCAATTTTATTATACAAAAGTTATTTACAAATTTTGGAAACAAGTTAACGTATATATATACAATAAATTAAAATTCTTACCTTACTTTAACTTTATCATTTAAGATATTAATCTTAAGACTTTTTTTACATAGTTGTTAAACTAATAAAGAATCTAACGTTAAATAACTGAAAGTTTGGCTGTACACAAAAGTAATAAAGGATCTATTGTCAATTCCACAGATGAAAGTTAAATATCTGCTTTAATTTAATTTCCTATAAAAGTATTAAATGTTTAAGAGCAGCACAGCAAAACAGATAACAATTATATACGTCAGTATATTCACAGAATCTTCAAAAAAAATTAATATCTTCTCGTCTAGTTGCTAAACACGTAATTTATAAATATGTAATATAAATGTTACTCTATATACACTTAGGTGTACTTGGAATTCGGTATTTACAACGTTCGCAATAAAGACTATAGTTGTTTATCAAATAATATTGCTTTCTTTGACTAATCAGAGTTGATTTCTTCAGCCACCTGTTGCCATTTGGCGACCAAGTTCGACACTGATTTGTGCTTCATCCCAATTGATGATGATATTTTGACCTGAAATAGTAACAAGGAAATAATTATAATTTTTATTTTTTAAGTATGTAACTGCTCGATGTTTAGATCTAAAGAAAATATTACTAGAAAAAATTCCACGCCGTCCAGGCAGCAGACGGTACTCGAACCCGCACCCTTCCCTATCCGGGCGAATGCACTGACCGAGGCTCTGATGGCCGTGTCGAATTCTTTCTAGTCTTTCTTAAGCTACAAGCCAGCACCATCTCTTTGCATTGTAAATAACCCACAACGTCAAATTAATACCTTAATATTTTTTTATATATTTAAGCATTTAACTGTTAGATGTTTAAATCTTAATCCACAAGGAAATAATAGATTTTTTGTTTATATTTCTTTGAGTACGTAAAAAGGACTTGTAAAGGATTTATAAAGACGCCAAAGGACTAGTTTGTAGGTAACAGACCCACATGCAAAGTATTGCTCCATCTTATATAGCCTCTAAATTTAACTAAAACTAGATTCATTCCATACAAAGATGTCAAATTGACATTGACATTTTTTATGTATTACTAGAAAGAAATGAGTTTGAGTATGAAGGGAGAGATATTGAAAATGTAAGATAATCATAATAATCATAATCAAAATCATTTATTCAGTTCAGGCTGTTACAAGCACTCTTGAATGTCTAGAAGCTCCGCCATCGGTTCGTAAATCTACGGCGGGAGACCTTGTACTGAGAAGAACCGGCAAGAAACTCAGCAAGGGCTGTTTTTTTCTCCCTGTTTTATTATTTACAGAGTCGTCAAATTGAAAAATTACTTCAGAGATGATTCATGAAGGCACCTTTCATTACATAATGATTAAATATACATTAATTGTTTACCTGCAAGAGAGGTTTAATATCAAGAAGCAATGAAAGAAAAGTAGGTTAACGGGGACTTTTCATATGAAGGAATTAAAGTTGTGGATTCGGATCTATGGATAATAATGAAAACTGTGGCGTGATTGAGATGTGACTATGGGAGTGATGTTTATAATGTAACAGAAACAACGCACACCCTGAAAGTAGATTGTTACAAATATGCAGATTAATCTATTCCAGTCATTTTTATTTAATCAGTTTGAACACTGATGTCCTATATTAATGAAATTATTGAATTTGCCGTTGCATTTAAAAATAGCTCTTGTTGCCTTGTTTTATGTATCGCATTGTTTTGATTAGAATTATTAATTTTATTAATCTATATACATATTATATTATGGAGGAGCTCGATGGCGCAACTGGTTAGCACGTTAGGCTGCGATCGTTGAAGTTAAGCAACTTTCGCAGTGGTCGGTCATTGGATGGGTGACCAAAAATTTACTATCTCGAGCTCCTCCGTGCTTCGGAAGGCACGTTAAGCCGTTGGTTCCGGTTGCATCTGCAGTCGTTAGCACCCACCAATCCGCACTGGGCCCGCGTGGTGGGTCATGGCCCAATCTCCCTATTCCTTAGCAGTGGGGAGATTAATAGGCTGATGATGATGATGATACATATTATATTTAAGGATTTTTTTTAGATACTGTTTAGTATTGAAATCGATTCAGCAGCAAATTGTAACCAAAACACTTTTAATGTGTGCGTTATTTCTCTCAAAAGTTGTATACAAGCTGCATCTTTGATGCTTTGTTATGCGTTGTTCCCCGTTAGGGAAATGCTGCGTGAAAGTGTATGTATGTATGAAGATATGTTCACAAAAATACCTTAGATTTCTTTTTGGCCTTCTCTTTATCTCTGTCCTTGTCTTTCTCCTTGTCTTTGGGTTTGTCCTTCTCTCTCTCGGGCGGTTCGGGCGAGTTAGTGGCGGTGCTCGGCACCGACGGCGTCTTCTTCTCTAGCTCTGCGATGTCGTTGTAGAACGACATTAATTCGTCGCCAATCTCTTGCTTAGGCTCCTGGGAATAGGGAGAAGTCGTTAGTGGTGTCGATTCTGGCATGAATCTCAAAACATCAGTATAGAGAATGACAAGGATACACTGTTGGGACTTTGACAGATTCGACAATTATGCATTGTTTAGGATCTAGGGAATATGGTACAAATTCCTTAACCCTTTAGCCGCCAAGGCCAAATCGCCAAGGTATATAAATACTTAATTTAAAAAATAAAATTACTGATTTTATTCTTGTAATTATTGATGTCCAACGTCAATGTTGAAAAAATTGACAATTTAGGACGGGACATAACTAAAGATTTCCCTACACAAAAATCCATATATATATTAATATTTATACTTACTAATTTACTATAAAATAAATAATGCAGTAAAAATAATTTATTTCGAATGTACTGATATTTTATATTTATTTCAGTCATTTAGTCACTGGACTGAATTGTTGATTGCCATCCCTAATCTCTCGACTAACTTTTTATTTTTTTAAAAAGAAAACAATAAAAATTCAAAATCTGTAACACTTTTTGTTCATTACGTAATCAAAATACTTGTTTATATTAAAAATTAAATTGCAGAGTAACTTTCTATTTCTTACTTACCTTTTTAAGCTTAAGTAGCTGTCGCTATTAAGATTGTAAAAATGCCAAGCTCTGGTATATCGATCTTCCATGGGAGATCCCTATTTTTAGTAGGTATTTAATTTTCGATATACTATGCTTAGCGCGGTTTGAGCGGGGGCTGGTGGGGATGATACTCACAGCGCGTGCAGGGGCGGTGGCGCGGTCGGAGGCGGATACTCACAGGCGGCAGCGGGGCGGCGGCGCGTCGTCGCAGCCGGGCGGGGGCGGGTCCCAGGCGGGCGGGGGCGGGGTGACGGGTGGAGCGGGGGCTGGGGGGGATGATACTCACAGGCGGCAGCGGGGGCGGCGGCGCGTCGTCGCAGCCGGGCGGGGGCGGGTCCCAGGCGGGCGGGGGCGGGGTGACGGGTGGAGCGGGGGCTGGGGGGATGATACTCACAGGCGGCAGCGGGGGCGGCGGCGCGTCGTCGCAGCCGGGCGGGGGCGGGTCCCAGGCGGGCGGGGGCGGGGTGACGGGTGGAGCGGGGGCTGGTGGGGATGATACTCACAGGCGGCAGCGGGGGCGGCGGCGCGTCGTCGCAGCCGGGCGGGGGCGGGTCCCAGGCGGGCGGGGGCGGGGTGACGGGTGGAGCGGGGGCTGGGGGGATGATACTCACAGGCGGCAGCGGGGGCGGCGGCGCGTCGTCGCAGCCGGGCGGGGGCGGGTCCCAGGCGGGGGGGCGGGGTGACGGGTGGAGCGGGGGCTGGGGGGATGATACTCACAGGCGGCAGCGGGGGCGGCGGCGCGTCGTCGCAGCCGGGCGGGGGCGGGTCCCAGGCGGGCGGGGGCGGGGTGACGGGTGGAGCGGGGGCTGGGGGGATGATACTCACAGGCGGCAGCGGGGGCGGCGGCGCGTCGTCGCAGCCGGGCGGGGGCGGGTCCCAGGCGGGCGGGGGCGGGGTGACGGGTGGAGCGGGGGCTGGTGGGGATGATACTCACAGGCGGCAGCGGGGGCGGCGGCGCGTCGTCGCAGCCGGGCGGGGGCGGGTCCCAGGCGGGCGGGGGCGGGGTGACGGGTGGAGCGGGGGCTGGTGGGGATGATACTCACAGGCGGCAGCGGGGGCGGCGGCGCGTCGTCGCAGCCGGGGGGGGCGGGTCCCAGGCGGGCGGGGGCGGGGTGACGGGTGGAGCGGGGGCTGGGGGGATGATACTCACAGGCGGCAGCGGGGGCGGCGGCGCGTCGTCGCAGCCGGGCGGGGGCGGGTCCCAGGCGGGCGGGGGCGGGGTGACGGGTGGAGCGGGGGCTGGTGGGGATGATACTCACAGGCGGCAGCGGGGGCGGCGGCGCGTCGTCGCAGCCGGGCGGGGGCGGGTCCCAGGCGGGCGGGGGCGGGGTGACGGGTGGAGCGGGGGCTGGTGGGGATGATACTCACAGGCGGCAGCGGGGGCGGCGGCGCGTCGTCGCAGCCGGGCGAGGGCGGGTCCCAGGCGGGCGGGGGCGGGGTGACGGGTGGAGCGGGGGCTGGTGGGGATGATACTCACAGGCGGCAGTGGGGGCGGCGGCGCGTCGTCGCAGCCGGGCGGGGGGTCGGGTCCCAGGCGGGCGGGGGCGGGGGTGACGGGTGGAGCGGGGGGCTGGTGGGGATGATACTCACAGGCGGCAGTGGGGGCGGCGGCGCGTCGTCGCAGCCGGGGGGGGCGGGTCCCAGGCGGGCGGGGGCGGGGTGACGGGTTGAGCGGGCGGCAGCGGCGGCGGTAGCGGCGGCGGCAGCGGCGGCGGGGGAGGCGATTCCTGACCATGTCATTACAATTTATATTTTTGTTACAAGTAAGATGTAGATAAGCTTACATTGTCTTAATGTCTAGATACACCTAATAAAAATAATACTATTTGTATTTTTACTTTTTACGCCACTTGTGCTGCGCCTCGCTAAAGCGGGTGCGCGGCAGCCCTAACACCATCCTGAAGGCGCTGGAAGAACGGTGGGACTCCCCAATGCTAGCTCACTGGATACGACTGCATGCACTCATATAAGCGAGAGCATCGTGCGGTGACATCGGTGTGGCAAATATTTATTTATATATTCCAGCCACTAGGAATTATTGACTATAGTACGGTCGCCGGGCAGAAAGAATTTCGTACAATGACCCCACGTTACCCATCCCTATCGCTCGCGCGCAATTATGTTACTTTCACGCTTGCACACAGTACTGCACACGGTACGTGTGCGAGCGAGACAGCAACATAATTGCGCGCGAGCGATAAGAATAGGTAGCGTGGGGTCATTGTACGAAATTCTTTGTGCCCGGCGACCGTACTTCAAAATTAGTTTTTAAGTATAATCTGTTTGTTACTAAGCCACTATGAATCCATTGTTATCCGAAATAGATTATTATCATTATTATTATTGACAACAGCAAATTCTCACCTTAGCTTCGACACCAGGATGGGGCGGCGTGGTGCATATATCCATATCCATGTTAGCAGTGGCCGGATACTCCCACTGCACCAGCCCGTCCGATTCGCGCTCGTAGCGGTACCGCCCTTCCGACCTGCGCGCACAAACGGACCAACGTACAAATACACGCCTCTCCTACATAATATGTTGACGACCCGAAACTTTATCTATGGGGGGTAACGGAAAGTTTAAAGTGTGTGTTTAATTCAAGTTATTTGTTAAGGCACGCTTGAGAAAGCTAGCGTCGAATCATATAACACGAACAAAGAAATTTGGTGACTCATTTCTTTGTCGTACCATTCGCAAGTGGATTTCTTTGCCCGCACACGTGTTCTTTCTACAATCTGGGGTCCTTTAAGAGAGGCATGAAGAAGCATTTTTGCAGGCCTGCAAGGTGAGGATGTTTGGTGTGGCAGTTTATATCTGCTGTACCAGCTATCTTCGCGTTTGGACTCTATCACCACTTTATATCAGGTGGGGTAGAGTCATTTGCCTACCTGGCTATAAAAAAAATACAGGAGGATCGAAGAACTAGCGAAGATCAGAGAGAGATGGCAAAAGAGCCATTGACTGCACCGACAAGAAAGCTGCTCATAAATTCAGAGGCCATCTTGATTTTAATAAACCTTTGTTTTATTGCCTTCGAAGGCAGACGGACGGACGGGCCACCTGATGTGAAGTGGTCACCGTCGCCCATGGATATCAGCGATGCCAGTGACACAGCCATGCTGCTGCTTTTAGAAGAACACTCCATTTAAGCCTTTCTTGAAGAGCAAGTCCTCTTTTGTGTTTTTTTTTCATAATTGTATAAGCCTCTGTATTATGTTTTTCTAGACTGATGACTGAATTTGTATATGGATAAAAACTTTTGTGACGACTTTGATCAGTATGTAAAGTAGTTAAAGGGAGGGAGACTTCAAATTTCTTGTCTTATTACATATTGAATCAGGGGGGGGGGGGGGAGGGGGGGACATATTATTATGATTTTTTTATCGAAAACTTTCGAAAATACTTTGAAAGCAATGAGTAGGGAGGATATAGGAGTATATTTCTGGAATATCACAATAACTGTCTTGTATTAAAAAAAAACTGATTTTCTTTTTATTTAGACAGACTTTTCGCAGGTATCAGGAAAGACTTGTGACATTGTAAGTACCATATTTTAGAGTATATTTATGTTTGTGGAATTTAAAATAGAATTAAAATATTGGTGCCAATTCTGGCGTGATTCTCTTAAAACTAAATTTAACATCAGTCTCTCCTTTTCATTTTGTATAGAGAATGACAAGGATATACTGCTGTCAAATTTAAGTTTAGGTTTAGAGAATCATGGTAGAATCGACACCACTGTATTTTTTTATTCACCAAAAGATAATAATCAACCTAAATATCATTTATTATCAAAAATATGCTTCAAATCAAAGAAATAAAAATAAATAAATGCGAAGGTTTGTCTGTCTGACTGTAACCCCCTTCACACTTAAACTTGGTTGATTTGGATGAAATAGTTAGAATTCCAGGAAAGTTCATAGGATAGTTTACAACTTAAATATCGCTCTTTAAGGGGGTAAAAGGAGGGGTTACAGTTTGTATGGGAAACCGTTCTTTACACGCAGACGAATTCGCAGGCACGCACTACCACTAGTTAATTCTTTGGACTTGTCACTAAAAACTTTTAAATTTAATATAGAAGATGTCATATATTAAAGAAGAAATGTAAAATATTGTTTAATACTTCTGTTTTGTATTAAACTCTACGGTCTATAACATTTTACATGTAAAAGAATTTGAAGTTTCCAACAAACGAAATAAAGTGCCATAAAATTTAAAACCTTAACAACATAACAATAGAAGTAGTTATCGATTTAAAATTTCCACACCCACACCACATAAAGTTACGGGCCAACTTATATTTCTAATTAAATATTGGCATACTAAACCCGTTTGTTATTCTGAATTCATGACTGCTTTTCTCATAGTCAAGTTTAGAGCTATGACTAAAGACTCTCTTCGAAAAGCAAACATAAAAACGTCCTTGTTACATCGGTGACAACCACCGATCAGTTTTCTTTGAAACTGATCCAAGTCCTCAGCATCTGGGAAAGACCAAAGCATATTATCTTGAATAAACAACAGTAAAGTAACAAATAATGAATTTATCTCACCAGGTCCCCGGTGCGAAGTCTTCTTCTAATCAGCAACAACGGCAGCCATAATATATCTTCCTCTTGATACACATATTGATTTCATTAAAAACACGAAATAAATCTTTATTTCGTGACAATACCAATAATTATCAATACAATATCAATGCTATAAAAGAAAAACTAAACAATGTTTATACAATAATTCAAAAGTTATCTTAATATTGATGTTATTTTAAATGCAAATGTATTTTAAATGTAATTACAATTTATATAGAAATAAGGTTGGGTTTTCAATGACGTTAGATAAAGAAACTCTGTCATAATATTGCAATAATTTATTGTAAAAATAAACTTTATATATATATATACTCTATCACAGATCAAAATATCACAGTTCGAAGAAAGTTATCACGTTTTCAATCCTGGCAACGTAGTCATAATATGGTGTTGCCAACACAATATTAAGCATTTTTTTTATATTACAAAGATACATCTTTTTCAATAGTATATTTGACATTTTTAAACACTATCAGTGAAATATGTTTCAAATTGTTCTAAAAGGTCATCATTTAATACTGATACAAAATTCTGTGTCGTACATATTTCTGTCAAATACCCCATCTTTGTTAATGTTATAATACATAATGGTGTCGATTCTGGCGTGATTCTCTAAACTTAAAACTAAATTTAACATCAGTCTTTCTTTTTCATTCTGTATAGAGAATGACAAGGAAACACTGTTGTCAAGTTTAAGTTTAGATTTAGAGAATCGTGCCAGAATCGACACCAATATAATATTAAAGGACAACCTTTACATGTAACACAGGTTACATTAAATTCTTCACCAAAAGTCATTTCACACGATTTCAGTCTTTATAAGCGTCTTTTTCGGTAATTCACACATTTAAAAAAAATGGGTACCATCGGTGGCCTCACATTTGTGATAAAAGGATTTGTTTACTATTAAAAGGGATGAAAACTTTTAGTTTTAATTAAATAAAATTTCAATATTCTTAAGAAATATCACAAGTGTGGAACCAACCGCAGGCTCCAGGAATATGAGTGAAAGAGGAGGAAGTTGCATAAAGTGAGATAGATGATAAAAGGATGGTATCTTGGGATTTTAATGTTTTGATGTTATCTTTTTATAAAAAGGTACTATTACATTATTTGATTAAATTAAAAGAGGGCTGCACCTTGCACTGTTAAAGTTTTTTTCAAAGGTACAGACATATTTTTGTATGTTTTGTTTGTTTTAAAACTCAGTTGTCCATTTTTAAATTATAAAATGGGGATTCTAAGGAATTGTATTAATTGAATAGAGAACTTGTAATGATAATTTCCCGCAAGCAAAATTTGGATAGAACATAAACTTTAGACTTTAATTTTGTAAATAACATGGAAGATAATGTAAACTTATAGACTGGGAAAACAAGAACAGAAAGGCGAGTTGGCATAACAGAAAAATAAAATTTTGGAGTTGGAAAATGAGAAATAGGTATGTGGAAGATTTCCAATGAGAGTTCTTGGATCTTTTGTCAAAGACTGGAGGAGGCTGAAGGAAAGAGTTTGAGGGTCCGAGATGACTATTGGGAGATGGGAAGTCGGAGAATAGACTTGGGAGATGGGAAGTCGGAGAATAGACTTGGGAGATGGGAAGTCGGAGAATAGACGTCAGAGATGTATACATGGGAGTTTCGTTGTACAAAATGTGATTGAGTAATTGCTGGTAGGTAGATTGTGGGAATGCTAATGGAGAATGGGTAATTTTATTTCTGGAAAAACTGATATAGTGACAAATAAAGAACCTCCCCTTAGAGATTGCTCAGTACTATTAAATTTTTTGGGCGGCTGGGAACGGGTAATTTACAGGACTAGGTAAATGTCCAGGAATGACCGGCAGAAGCAACATAGGGGCATTCTATTCTATTCTATTTTTGTAAAGGCTGGCTGTTGTCTCCTTAGACAATTCTGCCAATGTCAGTAGGGGCATTCGATACATGAATATTCATTTGATGTTTTAATGTCCAAGACAAGTTACCCTTAGGAAGTAGATAGGCCTATTGATAGTTTCAATTAGGTCGTAAGAAGTAGTAGTCAGGCGGTAGGTAGTATAGTTCTACGGTATGGTTTAAGGTCGTAAGAAATAGGATTCTGGAAGTTGGTAGTAAAGTTACTTTCGGCAGGTAAGTAATGTTTTAGGTCGTAACAAATAGAATTGTGGAAGCTGGTAGTAAAGTTGGGTTTGGGAGGTGAGTAAGGGTAGTGTAGTGTTCGTGGTCGATGTTTATATGTCGAATGAGCACTGTGAGGTTGGGCACAGGGCTTGTTTACCGGTTAATTTTCAAACCTAAATCAGTGTCAAGTACATTAGGAGCGTTTTATTTAGGTTTGGCTCTACCTTAACCTTAAAAAACCGGTTTTCCTTAAAAGCGAAATCAAATAGGTTTTGAATCAATTTAGAGGTTTTTAAAGGGCTTCATTTCGCTCTTACTGACGGCATCGCCTTCGCCGTTTAAATTCATATTTATAATGATTTTATGTCAGTTTCTTTCCAACTACAGAGCGAGTGAGTGAAGTAGTGTGTCAGTACACAACTACAAAATGAATAACTTGACTCACTAGACGCTAGAAAACGTGTCAATAAATGCATCAATCTCTGAGCATCAACAAGTTGTAACTTGATTAGTTCAAACAAAACAAACTTCAAGCGATGTCGCGCTCTGGATTAAACCGGTTTATTAAGGTTTTTGGTACCGCTTTCATTTCGGACGCGCTCCGAACGAAACCTTTACTAAAAACCGGTATTAACCTTTATTTACCGGTATTTTCGAAACCGGTTACAATCCCCGGTTGAGCATATTGATAGTTTAACTATCGACAATTGATTTTAGATTTTAAGTAGTGGTCAGGAGGTAGGTGGTATAGTTCGGTGAGGGTTAGGTCGTAAGAAGACGGATTGTGGTAGTTGGCAGTAAAGTTTGGAGGTGGGTAGTGTAATGCAGTGTTGGTGGTGGATGTTTGCGTGTGGCATGAGCGCAGTACCTCTGGAAGGCGCAGCGCTAGCCGAGCTGGGCGGCAAGATAGGAAAGTTGGTAAGGTAGTACAATGTAATGTTCATAGACGATTTTTGAAATGAGCTTGGATCGTAAGAAAGGCGTCGGAAGTCGGACGTGTGGTTAGGTATAGGATTCGGTGGGTATATAGCGTATGCAGTGTTGGTGGTCATGGTCATCATAGTGGTGCCTCTGAAGGCGTCACTATCGGGCCGCGGGTTTTCACAAATAAGATTCTGGAAGTCGGTAGTAAAGTTGGCTTCGGGAGGATAGTAAGGGTGGTGTAATGCAGTGTTGGTGGTCGATGTATATATGTGGCATGAGCACCGTGAGGTTGGGCGTATTGATAGTGTGACTATCGACAATTGATTTTAGGTTTTAAGGAGATAGGTAATATATGTAGTAGGTAGTATAGTTCGGTGAGGTTTTGGGCCGTAAGAAGATGGATTGTGGTAGTTGGCAGTAGTTAGGTTCGGTAGGTGGTAGGGTAGTGTACTTAGGATACTGGAAGTTGGTAGTAAAGCTGAGTTCGGGAGGAGAGTAAGGGTGGTGTAATGCAGTGTTTGTGGTCGATGTTTGCATGTGGCATGAGCGCAGTACCTCTGGAAGGCGCAGCGCTAGCCGAGCTGGGCGGCAAGATAGGAAAGTTGGTAAGGTAGTACAATGTAATGTTCATAGACGATTTTTGAAATGAGCTTGGATCGTAAGAAAGGTGTCGGAATAGAAAAGGTTAGGTATGTAGTGTTCGTGGTCATGGTCATCATAGTGGTGCCTCTGAAGGCGTCACTATCGGGCCGCGGGTTTTCATTGGTAAGAAATAAGATTCTGGAAGTCAGTAGTAAAGCTGAGTTCGGGAGGAGAGTAAGGGTGGTGTAATGCAGTGTTTGTGGTCGATGTTTGCATGTGGCATGAGCACCGTGAGGTTGGGCGTATTGATAGTGTGACTATCGACAATTGATTTTAGGTTTTAAGGAGATAGGTAATATATGTAGTAGGTAGTATAGTTCGGTGAGGTTTTGGGCCGTAAGAAGATGGATTGTGGTAGTTGGCAGTAGTTAGGTTCGGTAGGTGGTAGGGTAGTGTACTTAGGATACTGGAAGTTGGTAGTAAAGCTGAGTTCGGGAGGAGTAAGGGTGGTGTAATGCAGTGTTTGTGGTCGATGTTTATATATGACACGAGCACCACGAGGGCCTATTGATAGTTTAATAGGGATGATGACTATTTTTTTTTTCTTCGTTTATCAGGTAGATTATCAAAAAGTGTTGAACACGTATTTTTTCTTTTTTCACATTATATAAACATTGTAGAGATATATTGATTTGAAAAGTCGCATGACGTCACGTTTGAGTACAAGTTGAACACTAGTGAAAATTCCTCCTAAACTTTGACGCGCTATAATTTTGTCATTTTTTGGTTGATTGTCCAAAGAAAAAACACGTGTCCATTATTTTTTGATCATCTAACTGACGGACTAAATAGAATTTCGTTTACTGTACCCCGTCATCACCCCTATTATCGACAATTGATTTTAGGTTTTAAGGAGGTAGGCAGTATAGTTGAGGTTTTGGGCCGTAAGAAGATGGATTGTGGAAGTTGGCAGTAAAGTTTGGAGGTGGGTAGTGTAATGCAGTGTTTGTGGTCGATGTTTGCATGTGGCATGAGCGCAGTACCTCTGGAAGGCGCATCGCCAGCCGGGCGGGGCGGCGGCGGCCTCGTGCGCCGCCAGCGCGGCCGCCGCGCCGCCCGCCCACGCGCGCCAGTACCGCCCAGACAGGGAGCCCGAACGCCACGCCGCGCTCAACGTCTGCGGCAACCACGCACCAAGTTAATCACCATTTTTTGTTTCTTAGGTTTTCACGCACATCACTCATTAAATAAAACTAGTTTAAACGGGATAATGCTACCTTCTCGGTAGCTCGACAAATTAAACAAAAGTTTTATTCTGACGACGAAGCCTGGAAAGGCTACGAAACGTCAATAAATAAATAAAGTTCGTGCATTATCCCGTTTAAACTAGTTTTATTTAATCACCATTATACTTCAATTCAATTCAATTCAATTCAATTTATTGCAGTCATGTGGTTACATGGATGGTACTTCTGTGATTCGCGTATGTGTACGATGGCAGCACATAATGCGTGCTACTACAAGTGAATTGAGTGTAATCTCTCGGGCGAATCACATCATATAAGTCGAACGTCACTTACAGGTTATTTCGTTTGACTTTCAATTTTTATCAGTTTCTATCTTTATATGTAAAACTCAAAGGTGACCGACTGACATGGTGATCTATCAACGCACAGCCCAAACCACTGGACGGATCGGCCTTAAATTTGGCATGCAGGTAGATGTTATGACGTAGGCATCCGCTAAGAAAGGATTTTGATCAATTCAACCCCCAAGGGGATAAAATAGGGAATGAAAGTTTGTATGAAACTTTGTCAATTTTAAACCGATCGGGCTGAGACTTTGATAAAAAGAAGCCACGCCACGCCGCGCTCAACGTCTGCGGCAAGGAGGCGCCAGGTTAATCACCGTTTCGAAGTGAAACTTCTTTAGGCACGCTTAACTTGCGGGGTAAACTGGCGAATGTGTGACGATTTTTGCGTTACGCGCGCACCGTTACGTAAGGCAAACAATGAACAATACCTGGGGGCCAATCGCCTAACTGGATTGCTTTGGAAAACGCTATCGCTTACGATTTCATTTTGTTATTTCTAGCCCCCTGAGGTTTTCAAATGCCTCGCGCTCTTTTTTTTTCTTTTGCATTGGTAATAACAATGTTAAAGAAAATGAGCGTGAGGTATTTCGGCGGTTAGAAATAACAAAATGAAATCGTAAGCGATAGCGTTTTCCAAAGCAATCCAGTTAGGCGATTGGTCCCCTGTGCGGTCCAATTACCGCACATGTTTCCGTGTCAGCGAAATAGTTTACTTGTTTAATATTATTTGATTGTATAGTCAGTCGTGTGTGTATCAAGTAATTGTAAGCTCGTATACCTATCAAGAAAATAAACATTCTATAATCGTCAAGGAGTTTTTATTATAAAGTTATCAAGATCTATCGTCCGACATTGTGATCCGGCTCGAAGGACCACAATGTCGGACGGTGCCGTGATGCTGCCGAACGACCTATATGATAGATCTTGATAACTTGATAATAAAAATTCCTTGACGATTATAGAATGTTTCAATACCCGTCACAAAATACATGAATCTAGTGCTTCATCATCATCATCATCATCAGCCTATTAATGTCCCCACTGCTGGGGCACAGGCCTTCCCTATGGATGGAATGAGGGAGACTGGGCCATGACCCACCACGCGGGCCCAGTGCGGATTGGCGGGTGCTAACGACTGCAGATGCAGCCGGGACCAACGGCTTAACGTGCCTCCCGAAGCACAGAGAAACTCGAGATAAATGTTTTTGCTGCGACAGTTGCTTAACTTCAACGATCGCAGCCGAACGCGCTAACCACCTGCGCCATCGCCATCGAGCTCCTCAACAATGAACAATATCCGTCACAAAATACATAAATCTAGTGCTTGGTGGGTGATAACGGACCCAGGGCGGATTGGTGGGTGGTAACCGACCCAGTGCGGATAAGTGGGTGATAATGGACCCAGTGCGGATTAGTGGGTGGTAATGGACTAATCTTTTTCCATCAAGAAATCTACAGGTTAAATTTATGATTTTCAGATCATTGGAGCTAAAGAAGTTTCACTTCAGTCGTGTGGTCATAAGCACACTCGCTTTTTCTTTGTTTGGAAAATGCCTTACGCATCCTTCAACCACTGGGGGAGCGAGAAGAAGGTGTGTGGGACTCCTCCCTGTCCACTTCAGCCAGCCCTGAGGCTCGCTTTAGTGAACAAGGCCCTACCTACGCCCTGAACAAGGTCACTAAAAACCAGACAATACTCCTACACCGTCACTCGACACGCACTATGAGGACCGCGGTCCCCCCTAGTGCGGGTGCGGTCACGACTCCCGTTTCCGAATGTCCGCGCAGACGTTAATCAACCTAGATCAACTATGTTAAGAGCGGACGCGAGCTGAGAGACATTTGAGAAATAGCTATTTGGAAAAACTATTGCTGTCACGCATTGGCAAATACCGTGCGATAGGGACAACAGTAGTTAACGCTGAAAATTGCATATAAAAATTGCAAAATTAGAGGTTTGGCTTTCGATGATTTCCTCCTCGAAAATGAAATATAATGTAAAAGAAAGGACAATGGGCAAAACGCACCCAGTTCTCCAACAAAGTAATTAGTATGAATCGATAGATCTATGAAAAAACTAGCCTCTTTTATTATGACACCAAAAATAAATATCCTGGGAGTCAAAAGATATGACACCGTAAAAAATATACTGGTAGTCAATAGATATGACACATGGGCATATTTAAGTAGCTGAATAAATTCATTTTATAATACCTTCATTTTATATTATTAGTAATCATAATAATATGCCACATCGTACTATACAACCAGATATACGACAAAGCCTGCCGACCATCCTGCACTTGCTCTTACTGAGACATTTCAAAACGGTTTACGGAAAATGAAGGACTTGCAGTTGCAAATAGTCGACTCGTCTTACTTCGTTGTGATTGTGAACTCCCTGCTACTTGATTGTTTTTTATCTAACACGCTTTGGATATTAGAACACGATTATCGGTTTTGTCAATTAGTATGGATGAACTGGAATCATGTGTTCTCCGAAGCGTGGACAAGTTTGTGTAATCTGTGGTCACTCCGTTTTACACAGAAGACAATTTAACGAACAGAATGTTTGAATGTTTTAAAAAAAACAACCCATGCGGGGATGTTTGGATTTACTCTAGCGCGGCAGAATAACATAAGGGGGGGCACCCTTGCACCTTGTGAAGTAATCCCATAATTCCAGAGCACCCTATGTAGAGTCGAACTAACTAACTATGTTAATTCCCTTGTTTCATTAATGTTCGTTCGTTATAGTACTTGTACACATTTAACTTAAAATAACTAAAGACCCCCGGGATGGAATTTGATGTGCTTTGGCACAGATGATCATGACTATAATACCTTTCAAACAAATGTAGTTTAAGCCGTGGCGGACGTGGGTGCAGCGCTCATACATTTTTGCCCAATGTCCTTTTACACAAACAATAATATAAGTAGTTATACTATGCCTGTATGTTTTGATTTTTTTGTAAATGCTTATTAAATCACTGCACTAGACGTCTTTATTGGTGATAAAAAAATGATATTTTTTGTCATTTGAAACACAAGTTATTGAAAAAGTGAAGACATAGGAGCATAGAATGAGTAAAATTATATTTTATGTATGAAAATCAATTCTTTGGTGATAAAAAACAAGGAGGAATCAGTCGAGAACGTTTGTATGGAAAAAACATAGCGCGCCGCCCCTGTTAAATACCCTAGACACACCACGTGCACTTAAAATGTGCCCCAATCAAGAAGCGCTTGAACACCACTCGAGCACTTCTTGGTTCACAGTCACGCGCGGACTGTAGAAAAGTCAACATGCCAAAAAAACATTTATAGTAGTACATGTTATTTTCATAATAGATATCCAATCCAATCCAAATCATACCTAATCCACATTTAACACACACAATATCGTAATATCGTACATACGGGGGATCAAAAAAGTAAAACGGTGAAAATTTCGAACTAATTAAGGACAATTTAGGACTGCAAGAAAAAAAAGTCCGACCACCCCCTAGTTCGAGATATTCGGGTGCTAACTGGGAATTAAGTTAGCACCCCCACTGCGTTTTAATGTTTAAAACACATTGTTTATATACATCAAAATTTCGAGCTAATTAAGGACAACAAAATTAACAACATCCCAACCCCGATTTTCAACCCTCTACCCCTTTATCGGCAAAAACATGAAAAGAATGGATTTTAAAAATGAAATAGCAATGCCATTTTCAATAAAAAATATAATGCAACTTACTTTTGAGTTTCAGAGTAATGTGCAACTCAAACGTTAAGTTGCATTATATTTTTTATTGACAACGACATTACTATTTCATTTTTAAAATCCTTTCTATTCGTTTTTGCCGATAAAGGGGTAGAGGGTTGAAAATCGGGGTTGAGATGTTGTTAATTTTGTTGTCTTTAATTAGCTCGAAATTTTGATGTATATAAACAATGTGTTTTAAACATTAATACGCAGTGGGGGTGCTAACTTAATTCCCAGTCAGCACCCCCATTGAAAATTTCGAATATATCGAACTAGGGGGTGGTCTGAAATTATTTTCTTGCAGTCCTAAATTGTCCTTAATTAGTTGAAAATTTAAAAAATATATATATAAACGTTGTTTTCTAAACGCTGGAATGCAATGGGGGTGCAGACTTAATTCACAGTCAGCACTCGGATCGAAAATTTCGATTATCTTAAAACGGGGGGTGGTCTGAAAATTTTTTCTTGCAGTCCTAAATAGTCCTTAATGACTTTGAAATTTTGACGTATATAAACATTTTTTATTTTTTTCAGAGAATTTCAGACCACCCCCCAATTTGGGATGTTCGGAATTTTCGATGCGGGTGCTGACTGTGAATTAAGTTAGCACCCCCACTGCATTCCAGTTTTTAGAAAACAACGTTTATATATTTTAAAATTTCGAGCTCATTAAGGACTATTTAGGACTGTAAGAAAAGATTTTCAGACCACCCCCTAGTTCAAGATATTCGAAATTTTCAATGAGGGTGCTAACTGGGAATTAAGTTAGCACCCCCACTATGTTTTCATGTTTAAAACACATTGTTTATATACTAAAAATTTCGAGCTAATTAAAGACAGCAAAATTAACAACATCTCAACCCCGATTTCCAACCCTCTACCCCTTTATCGGCAAAAACATGAATAGAAAGGATTTTAAAAATGAAATAGTAATGTCGTTGTCAATAAAAAATATAATGCAACTTACTTTTAAATTTTAGAGTAATGTGCATCTTAAAACCACCTTTAATTTCATCCCTCATCCGTCAAACTATGAAAATATGAAGAAGTATGACAATTTTCACGGATTGACGGATAGGGGTTGAAATAAAGGGTGGGTTTGAGTTGCACATTACTCTGAAACTCAAAAGTTGCATTATATTTTTTATTGAAAATGGCATTGCTATTTCATTTTTAAAATCCATTCTTTTCATGTTTTTGCCGATAAAGGGGAGGGTTGAAAATCGGGGTTGGGATGTTGTTAATTTTGTTGTCCTTAATTAACTCGAAATTTTGATGTATATAAACAATGTGTTTTGGGGTGGTCGGAATTTTTTTTCTTGCAGTCCTAAATTGTCCTTAATTAGTTCGAAATTTTCACCGTATTTTTTTTTTTTGAAAGTGGGGCTGCCAACTTTATAACCATATCAAAAATCTAAGTTTTCATTAAACTTACCTGCAATTGAATCATCATCTCTTGAACCGGCGACAGATTGTAAGGCTGCACTTGCGTCAAGTATTTCAACTTGGCCTCCAAAAGGCTAACCATGTCTTCTAAGGCTTCGTCTTTTGCTCCCTCATTTAAAGTCTCTCCTTTCGTGAAAACCAAACCATTGCCATAAGTAACAGCTGTATCAGCTTTCGGACTATCATCATCATCGTCCTTACTAAAACCTAACCCCTTATGTTCCCCAATAAAACCATCTACTGATTGGGAATATTTAGTAGTATACGACACAGGTTCACTCCTCTTAACCGGCAAAACGGAGTTGGAAATTCTTAGCTTCTTCCTACCAACATTTTCTACTACATCTCCGTCTTTCAATAAGTACACATTAGTACTTTTCTTTTCTACTACTGGAGTTGTTTCCTTTGGTTTATCTACAGAGTTTTCAACAATGTTCGCTGCACTTGGGAATAAACTAACCGGAACTACAGGTTCATTGGTAATATTTTCACTACTAGGGAACAGAGGTTTGATTTCACTTCTAGGTGGTGTACCGTCACATTTAGGGCTATGTGCAGGACTATCATTTGATTTTGTATCACTGAACATATCAACTTTATTCTTTGTCTTAACTTTAGGGAGTTCCTTCTTTTCAATTTCTTCTAACAAATCATCAATGTTTGTGTCAATAGTACTTTGGGGTTTGCTATCTTCTACATTTGTGGTAGATGGCGCTTCTACGGGCTTCGGTGAGGCAGGTTTAGATGCAGTCTCATCTTGAATAATCTTTTGCAATTCCACAGGAATTTCACCACCGAGTTTCTCTAGAATTTTAGCTTTGTCTTTTAGTTTGGTCAATAAATCGCTTTCATCTTGACTGTCTTCATTCTCATTAACTTTTGACTTCTTAACCTGCAACAAAAATAAAGAATTAATTATATGCTTTCAACACCACACTATGCACTATATTTATTTTAACTTTCAGATTGAAAACTTAACCATCACAATGCAAGATAACAAATCCAATAATGTTGAGAATTAGTTTGACCTCACTAGGATATGTTAAATATTTTAAGTTAATAAAAATATACCACATATCCGTAAGAAGTTGTGATATAATTCCCACCAAAATTGAAGAGTCATCTTAAATGCATTTACTCAGATGCAGAAGGTCATCATATTACTTTTACTAATGAATTGAATAATCATATACAAGAATTAGTAGTAGTATTGAGTGGTACGCCTGAGATGGTAAACATAGTAGAGGTAGACAACACAAAAGATGGGAAGATGATCTACCCAAGAGTTGGCGACGAGCAGCCACAGATAGGAACCAATGGGCCAATTTGGAGGAGGCCTATTGTAAGGTAAAAAAATAAAAAAACTGTGTGACTATTTATCTAGTTAGTTATTTCAAAAAAAGAACGAAAAATACTGGAGCTGATGGCCGGTTGATAGTAGCCGATTTTAGCTTCTCAGCTTCCATTTAAAGTGAGAGTTGTAACGGGCGCCGGGAAGCTGGTGACATCTCCAGGTGTCCGGAATAACTTACGGGAACATCGGCTTTTAATCTCAAGGCCAGTTTTGACTAAGGTTGAATGATAAAGGTGTTTTCCTCTTCAATTATTTATTGTGTAAAGTGTACATACCAGATTGGATTCCAGGCGTCAAAGTACATTAAGTATTGGATTTACTTAGTCTATTATGGCTGGTCCATGGTCAAAGATATCAAAATGATATTTATAAAGATATCATTAAAATTAAAGATGAAGCTACAGAAGTTAAGGGTTATAAAGATTATAAAGACCAGTTAAAGAGTATAAAGAGCTGAAACAAGAGAGACATTTGTGAGACCAGGCAACATGGCTAGATATATGTATGACAATTTTAATCTTAATTCTTACCTGCAATCGCAGCTCTTTTAAAGTTTTACTATAGGGCCATTGGCACCTATATTAATTCACATTAATGCGGTGAGCGCATTTTTGAAAAAAGAAACCGAACTATAAATTATTATTATATTTCACATTTTTAAAAAGTGACTGGTCGTGTCTGCAAAGAATCGAAAAGTAATGTTGCCAGGTCGCACTTCCAAAATCGCCGCGAGTCTCAGTGTTGGCGCATTAAAATTTAAATTTGGGCATGGACCAAATTACAAAAGTTTACTTAAATTTAGAATGACAATTATTAAGTATTTATTTTAATGTTTTATAAAATTAAGACAATTTTTAAAGATGTGTTTCGTTTATTAAAAAAAATAGGGAAAATCCTTAAGTGACGGATGTCAAACCATATATTATTTATCTATGTATGTGACGGCGTAGATACGACGTTACAAGATGATCTACCCAAGAGTTGGCGACGAGCAGCCACAGATAGGAACCAATGGGCCAATTTGGAGGAGGCCTATGTCCAAGGACAACCTGATTGTACATGTGCCGATGTCAGCGATTAAACTAAGTTTTAATTTTAAGTTACTTTTAACATGTACAAAAGAGAATAAAGGCTATTTTTATTTTTTTTGTTTATTTTATTATATACAAGAATAAATAGCTTTACCTGTTCATCACTAGATGCAGTATTTGTAACTATTTTCTCTGGTGATTTATGTCCATTTTCAGCTATCATTTCCACAGGCAGCTCTGGTCCTATAGGTACAGAATAATTCTGATTTGGAGGTAAGCTTGGGCCGTATTCTACTTGTTTTTGATTTGTTTTCTTAGACTTTTTGGGCAGAGGTTTTGTCACTTTTGGGGGTAAAACAGGGGCAGGTGGCTTCTTAACAGGAATTTCCGCCTCATCATTTGAATCAGAATCTGAGTTGTGGTAAGATGTTATTAATTCTATCTTGACACTGCAAAAAGATAAATAAAACTATTATTATATGTTAATTAATTTTGTTTCATTTGGTAATTGTTAAATTATATTTGATGAAACTGTCTTTATATACATTAGATTATTTTATACAGTTTTTAATATTATTAAAAAAATCAAAGCTATTTAATAACTACAGATTGGATTGTCTACTCTTTTGAAACTTCAAAATTTACCCATTAAAGACCACCCCTATCATAAATTTTTAAGCCTTGGAGAGCAACAGCTAATAAAAGCCCCAATACTAACAATGAACAGTGATATTAACAAAGATATAATAATGGTAAATTGAAAAACACAAGATTCATCTTTATATTTTATTGATATTATATAGAAAAGCTTGTGAGTGATTGGAACAGTACAAAGACTTGTCTGGAAGTATTTGTTTTTCCAAGATATTGCTTAAAGTATGACAAACTGACAGTGCATGTAAAGTAAGCTTATTTCAATTAATTAAATAAATAATAAATAAATATTTCCAACACTCACACCAATTAGCCTAGCCCCAAAGTAAGCACTGTAGGCTTGTGTTATGAGATACTAGGGTAATGGATAGAACACATAATCTGATATACATATATAAGTATATTTATATAGAAATACATAAACTGATACATATATAAGTATATTTATATAGAAATACATATTAAACATCCATGACTGGAGTACATATGCTCGTATTCATCACACAAACACCTGCCCCCACCGGGATTCGAACCCGGGACCTCTTGAGATGGCCACACCTTGTAACCCGGCGTATAAACCACTCGGCCACGGAGGTCGTCAAATAGATTGAATCTAGAATTACTATAAGAAATAGATATAAGAGTTATATTAATCTATTTGAAATCTGCCAAGGTATATAATAAATTAATATGATTAAATTTCATAATGTCTGTCAACTGTACTTACTCTTCTTCATCACTTAATCTTCTTTTAGTTGCTTTGGACGTTGGTGTGGTAGTGGAAACTTTCTTAGCTGAATTAGCAGCAGCAGTCTTCGGTATCACTTTGCTTTGTGAACTTTGCTTCTCTGCTAACGCTTGTTGGTATAACTGCCACTCCTCTGCAGACACTTCTGTAGAGCCTGTTCGATAACCAAAGTAATTTTCTTCAAACAAAATAAATTAAAATAGTAATCATATAGAACTATTTTGAATAGGCGTGTCTACACAAAGCGAGCTGCCTCGCGCGGGAATTGCCTCGAGAGGCTGCTCGCTTTCTGGATAATGTAGACGTGCCTCGGCCAAAGCAAGCTCGCGTGCTGCCTCGGGCGAGCGACCGAGCACCCGAGCCATCGAGTATCGTTTTTTTTTGTTTTGCTCAAAGGCGCCTCTTTCGCGCGGCAAATGCCTCGCGAGGCTGCTCGCTCTGTGTAGACGCGCCTAATTATCATATAAAGCAGCTTAAAATTTCTGCCCACACAACAAAGCATAAAATTTTAACAATTTCCAAAATACAACTGGGGTAGTTTTAATTGATTAAGTAAGTAAATATGAGACCCAACATCTTGCCTTTTTTTCTGATCAAATAACAATATAACTTGATCAAGTTAAACCAGAATCAACCAGGTAGCGCAGAGTTAATTAAGCCACAAAGACCCAAATGGTGATCAAACTCAAGACCTCTGTTAAGACACTGTACCTTTAGAAGTCAATGCCTGAGCAGAAATTTAGTCTGAATTAAATTGATATTTAACAGCACATAATAATGAAAGTTATAGTTTGTGGTTGGAGTGTTAGGAATAAGTCAATAATATACCTGATGTATTCAAGTGTTGTTGGGCCAATTTGAGAGCAAGCAGATACTCTGGAGGTGCTTCCCATGTTACAGCATTCGTTTGTTGATTCCAGTAGTATGTGAAACCACTATTTTCATCATAACATGCGGACCAAGCTGCAAGTGAGATAAAAATGATTACTAAAGAACTCTATCTGAAAAGTTCAGCTCAGCTTTCCGTTAGTTGTAGTTGAGTAGCGAGCTGAGATTTTTGTCACGGAAAGTATTAATTATTAGGAACACATGCATGAAATCTTTTTATATGGAAACGAATAGAACTTGAGAAGAAAATTATTGAAAATTAATATTTTTGTAGGTTAAAGTCAAATTTTTGCAAGCCATTTTGATCAGTGCTGCCATTTTTTACATCATCATCATTAGTCGGGCACCCCCCCCCCCCCCCCTCCCACCCCCCACATCAAAACTACCCCGAAATTCCACCACAACTAATGGAATTTAGTACCAATGCTTCAAGGCATGTTTGCATAATATCAGACTTTTAACATAACAAGGAATATTGTAACAACTAAAATCCAAGTTCATAGAAATTTTCTGTTTTATGACCTCGTCCTTTATTTATTACAATTGATTATATTCAGTAAGTAGACGTTATAATACTCACGACAGTGTGGAATTGGTGCTGGATGAATAGCAGCAGTCGAGTTAGGTGCGCTGTATGAGGTAGTATTTGTCTCGGAAGAATACATTGGTGGTGCTAATTTGACAGCCGAGGCTCTCCCAACACTTGAACTTGTTTTCGACAAGCGTTCCCCATCATCGGATTCCTCCTCCGAATCACCGTAATTTCCAATTAATCCGGCTAATGCGTTCGCTTTACTCATTTTGGTGGTAATTATTTTTTGAGGTTATGTCTGTTCATTAAGAGGTTTGTTTTTGTTGGAAGATTTTTTGGCACCGATACGTCCTAATCATTTAAAAACATACTTTGTAATCACAATCTCAGTAGTCAATACTATGAGTTTAAAAAGGTACAAATGTTAAAAACAATACGAGCAACGCAAAAATTCGCACAAAACGATTTGCGAAAGGCGTCAGGCAAGGTGAAGGCGTCTGTCAAACAGCCATATTGTTTTTTTTTTAACTTTTACGGCCGTGAAGTTCTCCATTTCAGCCATTCATTTCATTATGGTAGCCATACACACTACGAGAAATCGTTACGATTAGACTGTACCGTCCGAACGGTACCAATAAATCGTAGCGTGTATGTTAAAAAACTGCACAGTTTCCTATACGCACGCCACGTACGATAAACTGTTCCGTTCGAACTGTACAGTCTGATCGTAACGATTTCTCGTAGTGTGTATGTATGGCTACCATTAGACTATAACGGCCATATTGAAAATTCGTAGGAATGGTGCTATGCCAGATCTGAATCGATTTTAAAATAATCGGTTCATTGCAACGCGAAATATGGCTTTAATCATATAAAAAAGATACTATTTTTTTCCAGATAAAATCCCACACTATAGTCACATCAATTATTTATATTCCGTAAAAAAATTGAGCTAGGTGTCAATAAAAACTTATTGATTTTTGCTAACACTAGCCATTTTGTGATAATATTGTGGCTACCGCAAGAAGCCGTGGTGTTTTTAAAACAAGTATTTAGGTTTCTAATATCTACCACTCTATAATATTCTTAAACTATATTGTGTATCAATATTTTGTGAATTGTATATTCCTTTGGGCTTTGAGAATGTACTCTTAAATGGCGCCAGCGTTTGTCAATGAGCGCGGCGACAGACTAATCGGCGTGTTGATTGCACTTTTTTCGCACCACTTACTTGATTGGGGTTTGCATGAAACTAGGTACTTTTAGAGCAGTTCTTGTTCCATTTCATTTCTAAATCATTGATTAGGTCATAGGTTTACTGACATGTCAATAGATTCCAGTTTTTAGAAATCTCACAATCAGGCCAACTAAGTTTTATGTAACACCGTTCAGGTTCATTTGAAAGTACCAAAAATATGAATTGTGATGGACCAAATTATTAAATTCTACTACTTTGACCTGAACTAAAGTCCTACTTAAGCTGGATAATAACGGAAGTTTTTGGAAATAATTTAACAAAAACACCGTCTACTGCTCTCGTGGTACACAAAATACACAGGGCTGCATTCCAAATTTGACAAAAGTTTCATTCATTTTATGTTAAAATTCGAACGTCAGAGTAAAAAGTTGAAACGCAGCCCTGTACCCTTAGCACGAACCAATATCGAATTCGAATAGTTTGCCGGTGCAAAATGTCATTGTCAAATAGTTATGTACTGATTTTTAGTTCTCGTTACTTTCGTTATAGCGCTGCTTTTCAAATTTCCATACAACATTTGCTAGGGGTACTGCTAGCGAATTGTAAAAAAAATGCCCGATAAAACAATACCGTGTTTTTGGCGCGATTTCATAGAGTACGACTTAAATTCGTTCACTTCGTTCGTTCGTACACTTGATATTGGCTAAATGCACAAACTGTGCGAAGCCATTTAGAAAAAAAAGGAACTTTTATCCATGATACATAAAATGATACCGGGCCATACGTCTGTGCTTTCCCATCTTGTCAAACTCAATTTAATAAACGATTTATGATCGTTTAATAAATTGAGTAATAATTCTTAAGTGTGACTGGAGGTTCGATGAGGGAGATTTGGATCATATTGTGTTTTCCTGTAATCAAGTTCATAGATCCTTAGTTTTTAAAGAATTATCATCCCTTTAGATACCATTCCCAACCAAAAACACTTCTTCATATCAATGACCTAAATGTATTATATATTTTCTTTTACTTAATATAAAAAAAAAACTTTAATTATAAATATATAAAATTTCATGTATACATTTCCTTTCCAAATTTCGTAATATTTCCTATTCCTTTTTTTCCCATAGGTACCTATAAAGTTTTTTTTACTTGACACTGGCTGAAGGCACAAACCGTGCTTGCCACAAAAAAAAGGAACTTTTATACTATCTGCCCCCCTCGCATTAACACCGCGATATGATATTTAACGCGTTTTTATCACGCTCAATTGTCAAATTACTATGGAGTTTGACAGTTCGACGCGTTAAAAAACGTGATATAATGTAAATTGTGGTGCTCATGCTACAGAGACTGGAACGATTACGTGACCCTCAAAAGCGTTCCCAATAGTAAACTCTAATTAGTGGAAGCTGTCTCTTTCTAGTAGTGTGTCCAAACAATAGCCTAAGTGATGAGATAATTATTTTTTTCTGGATGAAGTAACCTTCTAATTTTCAATTCTATATCCTTAGCTGGAAAGTCCAAAAATATATTAAAATCTTTAAATGACCTTCCGAGCTTATTAAATACGTCGCTGTATGTATTGCATCTGTTTTTTATCCAACATTAAATACAGTTCTCAAAATTTATTTTGTTAAACGATACGTTTTTCTATAATTCTTATGTATACTTTAAATATACACATAGGAAAACGAAAATGAAAGTAAAACCGCTGAATATGAATAATATTTAATAATTCATTAATTAGATTACAGACTATTTATTTAAAAGTCTTAAAAAACACGACGCATTGTTTTATCAATTGATGTTTAGTATTTATTTTTAGCGTTTTAGTTAGATTGGTATACATTTTTGTCCCGAAAAATATACCAAAATTGGCTGATTTTAAAAATAGAAGCCTTTCGATACCGTTTGTATAGGATATAGTATACATATATTACAATAGTAAAATCCGTTGAAAAGTTCATTAAACAATTTTATTAGATAACTTATCAGTTTAAATAAAAATGAACACATTTTTGGCTGCATAGATATCAATATGTTATGGGCTATGTGATTAATCGGGCATTATTCATAATGCTCGGGCAATATGAATAATGCCAGGTGCCTATTGGGCCGAGTGATGTAAAGCATGTTTAATACTTTCAAATTAATACTTAGTTAGATAGACCGAGCATTACAAGTAATGAAATCAATTATCGGGTAGAGTAATAATAAAAACGTGCTTTATATAAATAAAACGTGCTTTATAGTTTAGTATTTAATTTTTAAATTTAAATAATCAGACTTCGGTTTTATTTCGATCAATTTACGAAGGGCTTCATTTAGAAACTATAGTCTATAGTAGTTTCAATGCAGCTTATTTGAAAAATTCATTAAATCTGTTAAATGTTCAGAATTTATGGTTCCCTATTTTTTAGGATTCAAGGAATAGGGAAGTAAGAACCAATACTTCTGCCTTATCTCCGGCGCTGTGGGAATAGCAGCCTCTCCGCCTTTGCGTGACAAAGTTAAAAGTGTTGAGCCCATACTATTTTTTATTTACCAAGATCTCAAAACAAACACAAAATGGCGAGACATCTGTGATTTTGAATAGTACCAACGTTTTGAATTTGTTCATACTGCCCGGTCCAAGCGACAAATTCAAGCTTTCTAAACACTAACTTATTACTTGGACCACGAGCCGTCCGGCATTATTAATAATAGCCGGGCAATGTGATAAATAGGTGAGTTTAGATTGTAATTAATCACTTGGCCCGATATGGCTAAGCATTATTCATACTGCCCTGGCATTATGAATACTGCCCGCATTAATCACTTGGCCCATAACAAATATACTAACTGCAATCAAACATAAATGCTAACTTTAACTGTCAAACTGTACGTTCTTGTTCTTTTAAATGGTTATCGGGATAATGTGAAAACTACCATTTGATTATTTTTATTAACACTGACAATTGCAAGAGAGGGACAGATTCCACTATCGTCGTTGTCCTGCTCGGAGTATTTTTCCCTCTTATAAAGATAGAAACAAAAATGGACTTTATGTAAACCAGTTAGAGTACATTTTTTGAATTCTCATATTGTTTCGTAAGCATTCCAGATAGAATATAAGTTCCTTGACCATACCCTTCGACCCACGCGGGGGTGATTTTGCACTATAACACAGCGGTGACACTCTCTGTACGTTAGAGATCCAGCGTCAGTGACCTTGAGCAGGAGCGTGTATGCGCTAGGGTTGAACTTGGAATTTAGACTTGTGCCAATGAATATTTATGCATAGTAAGTTATTAAATGTAAACTGATTCAAGGATACTGGGGTAAATAATGAAGGATAGGTTTGATTTTATAATCAATTTTTAATCTTTTAATGTAGGTACTATAACAAATTGCTAACTTTTATATATTTTCTCCTTTTTCGATTCGTTTTATAATTCTTATTATTATGTAAATAATAATAAGATTGCGTAGCGTAGTCAGTCTGTGCGTGCAATACAGTGCAACGCTATTATTTTACTATTTCGCTACTGCCATGCCTTCGGTCGAGGCAGTCAGCGACTGCCCTCTCCACGTCCCGCGCGCCGCGCAACGCCCCCGCGCACCCCCAGACACCCACACATAGCCGCGGGCGATTTTACGAGCACACATGCTTAAGTGTCACTTCTTTTCGCGTAGTGTATATATTCTGTGACTATAATGCGATTCAACTAAGAATAGGACCGACTGGGCGCCATATTGTGATGTCTGTCTGTCTGTGATGAAGATTATTATTATTATTGGCTTTCCTATTCTTATTTGAATCGCATTATAGGTGTTTTCCATCGTGCTCGAACAGCAAAAATTTTGTTGATGCTAACAAATATGTGTAGTGAAACAAAGTTGTGTACTAACTCATTTGTTGAATGTTGACATGTTTTTGTTGATTTAAATTGAACCGTTTCAGTTATTATTGGTGTATATTTCCGTTCGTCCTGTTTCATTCTTACCAATAAATCAAACAAGTTTTTTGTGATGGCAATTCTAGCGATTTTCAAAGCTGGCAATCCTTGCGCGACCGCCGAGCGTAATAAGAAAAGTGAAGTGATGACAAAGAGTAGTATAATATACCGGAGAGGTTAGCTCGTTCGGTTGCAATCGTTGAAGTTAAGCAACTTTCGAAGTGGTCGATCATTGCATGGGTGACCAAAAATTTACAAGGCCACATTAAGCAGAAATCATTGATAACGTATCTTGACATACAGACGGACCGACAGACATAAAAGCGAGCCTATTAGGGTTTCGTTATTTTCCTTTTGAGGATCGGATCAACAAAATTTAAAAAAATC